AGCGCCAGGGCCAGCTCCCACTGGAGACCCCCAGGCTCCGAGTGAACATGATCAGGGGAGTGGGGTCAGCCCCCCAGTGACCCCCTAATCCCCTTTACATGCCCCCTGTCCCATCCAATTATCTGAGCCATTATCGTCCAACCTCTGTCCTCAGAGCTGTCTTCTCCCAGTGCTGAGCTGCCCTTTGGGATTTAACATCATTTAAGATCCGCTGGCTGCAAACAGACCCCTCTCTCCCTCCCCCCAGAAGGGCTACGCTGATTTTGCTGATTATTATTATTTTCATTTTAATTTTTTTTTYCTCCCCTGCACTGCGTCTGCAACATTTTGCAAACACCTAATGGCTGCGGGGCTGTTGCAAGCCCGGAGCCCGGGAGAAGACAGATTCCTCCCAAATTCTGCTGGATTTTTGTGGCGTCCCCACGAAGATTGGGAGGGATTGTTATGGGAGAAGAACCGGGATGCAAAAACCACCAGCTCCCGTGTGCTGAAATGATGGCTGGCAGAGAGAGAAAACCGAACCGGGCTCGTTCCCGCTGGAAAAGCGGGGAATTCCTCGGYTACGGGGGATGAGCAGACAAAGCCAAGGGAATCAGCTGGGCACAGCTCCTCGCTGGAAGCAGGAACTTGGTTTGCACCCATTTCCCGCTGGAGGAGAAGCTCCGCGGAGGGAGAGAAGCTCCGGAAGGTGCAGCAGTGTGGAACAACAAGGGGAATATCGCAGGAAAGAAGGGAAGGGTGTCCTTAGCGGGGCGGGAGAGGTGTGCTCCTGCCCGGACAGGGCTGTAGGATGGGGACRGTGCCCCGGTGTGCGACACCCGGAGCGTTTGGGCTGAGCTTGCACAAACACTCGCGCTGGCAGGGGTGTGGGCTGACGCTATTATTTTAACAATTAGCCCCGAGCTGTTAGAAAGGGCTCTGTAGAAGTTCTGGCTGGTTTTTATTATTTTTTTTTTTTTCTCCCCCGCTTCCTCGGTGACTTAAACGTGAGCTGCGAGACCTGWGCAGGTGGAAACCTGCTCTGCTGAACGCACGGCGCCTGCTTCAAAATCCCGAGCCAGCTACGCCCTGCGAGGCCACCGAGCTCATCCCACCATGTCTGCACTGCACAACCCCGCAAACCCTGCCAGGGCTGCTGCAAATCGCGGGCTGGGGGCAGAGGRAGCAACAGGTGATTGTCCCGAAACACGGCCAGGTTCTGCCCTGTTACACCTCATCCTGGAGGAGCCCCGCGCTGCCGCAGCTCAGAGGAAAATCCACAAAAATAATGGGAAAGGAGGGTTCAGCTCGCAGCCGATGGGGAGGCATAGTGCTGGCCATCTCCGGGGAWTGTCGGCCAGGCGGGAGATGTGGCCGGGGACACATCGCGGACCCCAGCCCCAAAAGGAGCCAGCTCTCCAGACCCCAATAGGGTCCCCATCACCCCTCCCTGCTGCTCCCCGGGATCTGGTCCTTGCTGCTCCCCGTTCCGGGGGTTCAGAAAGCTGGGGGTCCCCTCCAGCTCCCTCTCCGSYAGCTCCCGTGCTGGGTGTYCCCGGGGKKGCTGTGTCCCCCCGAGCAGAGRAGAGCAGCAAACTTACCGGGGCTGGAATCAGAGAGGGGATCGCACGGACATCTTGGCTCCCTCCTTCCACCTCGGCTCCCCAACTTGGTGTTTGCAGAGCGGTGTCACCAGTGCCTCCAGGAGTCTGTCTCATTCTCCTCCTCTGTGTCTCGCTTCA